GTTATGATTTATTTTTAAAAAGTTATTACTAACAATATAATGATTTTAAACTTACAACCTGAAAATTACTTTACCATTTATTAAATCTTCTGAGAAGTTTGAAGAAAAAAGTGATGGTGCAGTGGTCATTAAATCAGGAACTATAGCTGCTATCTCTGGATTCACTTCAGCAACTTTTATTGGAACATCAAGGTTTCCCGTTGCCATTACATCCTGCCTTTCCTGAGTCAAAGCATTTCTCTGTTGCGCCTTCATGTTGCTCCACATTTTTTTCAATTGTTTAATCGACCTCTAAAAGAAAAACTTGTTTAGAAATTTCAAACATATCTTTAAAAATTTCGTTTGCTTAGCACAATCAATTAGTTTTACCTGCTCTGCAATATGTACTGAGCCATTGTATGTTTCTTCGATTTCACCCCACGCAACCTCCTTAGCTTTCATGGTGGAACCATCGTTTTTGCGATTTTCAACAATGTGCGAAAAACCTTTAAGAATTTCAAAGAAAAGTTTTTTTTCCGCATCTGTGTAATGCTTTTTAGACATTTTATCACTACAAAAAAATGTTATAATAATTAGTATTTAATATATATATATATATATATATATATATATATATATATATATATATATATATATATATATATATATATATATATATATATATATATATATATCCTTTCTTAAAAAAGACATGGAGTGGAAAGGTCGAATGTATCGAAAAGTATCAAAGTAAAGAATGGGCAATGAGAATGTAAAATCTTAATAGAAGGGTGTTTTTAAAATTGTTTGTACATGTAAAGGTGGCGCTGCAGTCGTATGTTATTTAAAAAGAGCGCGAATATATAAATTTTATTTTTGTTAAGAGAAAGTACTCATAATAAATCTTATTTTGCATTGTCAAAAAAACGTCAACATTTCAAATATAAATAAGCAAATTATTAACTGAAAAAATTTGAATATTATTATTAATGAAATAATGGACTTGGACAATGGACATATAAAAACTAGCACCGTAGACGGCCGCTTGCGGCCGTCGGAGGAGCTAGTATATTTAAAATTATTGTTTAATAGCAATAACAATTTTAGAAACATTATTTTCATGATTTTTTAACAAATTGTTTATAAACAATTAAAATTTTCTAACGCTCAGCATTGCTTACTTAACCGAGACTACATACTTATAACTATAACTATTCATTAAAAAAATTAATGGAAGATCATTGTTTTAGAAGTTATTATTAATTAACAATTTTTTAAAAAATTTTAAACAAATTTTTATCTATTTATACATTTTATAATTTGTTAATTTCTACATATGGGACATTCTCAGTGTAATTTTCACTCAAAATTTTTTTTTGATTGAAACAATTTTTTTCGAATTCTGTATGAAAAATAAGTAAATACGTGTTTTTTTATTTTTTTATTTGATCAAAATTTTACTTATGAAAGTAAGTTATGGTTTTTTTAATACAGAGGATTTGAAACACTTTTTTCTCTGTTATACCAAAAGATAAAAAATTATATAATATATATGGATATTATTTATTTTTTTATTAATATTTCAAATATGTAATAAAAAATAACATTAATACAGCGAAAACATTAAATAAATTAAAATTTCGTCTAAAATGTGACTTTTCTCAAAAGCGAAGTAATTGATTTTCGATTTTTTTCTTTCATTACAACCACTGATAAATAAAGAAATTTTTCTCACTTATGCTAAAGTGGTGTTCTTTAGAATTCAAATTATATTTAAAATTATGTCAGTCGTTGCACAGATTTTAGAGAAGGAACTCTAAAGAACACCACTTTGACATAAGTGGGAAAAATTTCTTTATTTCTCAGTGGTTGTAATGAAAGAAAAAAATCGTAAATCCAATTACTTCGCTTTTGAGAAAGTCACATTTTAGTCGAAATTTTAATATATTTAATGTTTTCGCTTTATTAATGTTTTTTTTTATTACGTATTTGAAATATTCATGAAAAAATAAATAATTTCCATATATTGTATAATTTTTTATCTTTTGGTATAACAGAGAAAAAATTGTTTCAAAAGTCCTCTGCATTTAAAAACGTTAAATCTAAAAAACTATAACTTTCATAATTTTGAGCAAATAAAAAAACATGTATTTACTTATTTTAATATAAAATTCGAAAAAAATTGTTTCAATCAAAAAAAAATTTTGAGTGAAAATTACACTGAGAATGCCTCATAAGTATTCATTAAAAATAAAAAAATTTTATTATAAAGAATTTAAATAATTATAAATTAAAGTCAAATAATTTTTGTTTAAACTATAACGCATATTGCAATTAAATTTTTCTATCTTAATGAAGTCAAATTAATTTCAATATACTTATATTCCCACATAGCACAATAGTATGAGGTAAGGTTATGTTGAGTACTAATCGTAAGGCTCATAAGGTTACACGATATTGCTGTGGTAGACCTGAGGTGAACTAAAAACTTCCGCCATGGAGGTAAGGTTACATGTTAGGGTGTGGTGACTATATATGATAAGGCCATGGTAACCTTACACGTTAAGGTTGAGGTAACGTTACATGTTAAGGTTGATGTAAGGTTACATGTTAAGGTTGAGGTAACGTTACATGTTAAGGTTGAGGTAAGGTTACATGTCAAGGCTGAGGTAAGGTAATTATTAAGTTGTAAGGTTGAGGTAAGGTTGTGATAAGTTTACCAGTTATAGAAAATATTGAAAAAATAATTAATAAATAAATATTCAATTAAAATGTTAAGTGTGTTGCTCTTCTCTATTTTGGAAACCTGACATGAAGCAGAAAATTTTGAAAACAAATTTGGGGGGACTGGGATTCGAACCCGGGATCGGCGCGCATAAACCTATCATTCTAACTAACTGAGCTAAGTAGAGAACTGGCAGAAGGAAAATTAATGTTGCCTTTAAGGAGTTAATCATCTTCTTGGTTCACCTTAAAGGCAACATTAATTTTCCTTCTGCCAGTTCTCTACTTAGCTCAGTTAGTTAGAATGATAGGTTTATGCGCGCCGATCCCGGGTTCGAATCCCAGTCCCCCCAAATTTGTTTTCAAAATTTTCTGCTTCATGTCAGGTTTCCAAAATAGAGAAGAGCAACAAACTTAACATTTTAATTGAATATTTATTTATTAATTATTTTTTCAATATTTTCCATAACTGGTAAACTTATCACAACCTTACCTTAACCTTACCTCAACCTTACAACTTAATAATTACCTTACCTCAGCCTTGACATGTAACCTTACCTCAACCTTAACATGTAACGTTACCTCAACCTTAACATGTAACCTTACCTCAACCTTAACATGTAACGTTACCTCAACCTTAACGTGTAAGGTTACCATGGCCTTATCATATATAGTCACCACACCCTAACATGTAACCTCACCTCCATGGCGGAAGTTTTTAGTTCACCTTAGGTCTACCACAGCAATATCGTGTAACCTTATGTGCCTTACGATTAGTATTCAACATAACCTTACCTCATACTATTGTGCTATGTGGGTTTCGTCAGGATATCTTAATCCTGACAAAATATATATATTGAAATAAATTTGTTTTCAGTTTCACTTTTTTCCCATTCAGGTAGTCATTTTTTGTATCCTTTTACTTTATAACTTTTTTCCTGAATATATTGAGATTTTGCTCACGTTAAGGGACTTAATCCTACACCCCCATAAAATCCAGATGTCAACATTTCGCTCACCTCTTTGAAAGTAGTAAGAAATAAGACTGGTTTTACTTTTGAAAATTAAAACATATATTCTAGCATGAAAAAAATTATTTTAAAAAATTTTTATTTCGCATTACAAAAATGAAGTTTATTTGTTTATAAAACTTTTGAATTTTGCTTCTTCTTATTATTCTATATAGTTGAGTTATTACTTTTCTGACAAAGATAGTACATGAAAAATAAATTACTTAGTCTTTTTAATAAGAAAATAAAAAAATAATCGTTATTATTCTATAAAAGCTGTACTTAGTTTTAAAAATATTAATATTAATATTGGTCATAGTATTTTATAAATATTCTACTGTTATGTGTTCCATCTGCATATTATTATTTTTCATATTTTTAATATATTTTATTTGGTGTTTTTTTCATTTTTCCGCTTTTAAACAATATTAATTATTAAGAAGTTCATATTTTTAAATTTTGTTTCATTACTACACTTCAAAAAATTTAAAAAAAAAATATTTTACAAATTTACATTTTAAATTTATTAAACAGTCTTGAATTAGACATTTTTATAAATTACATTATAAAAATATACTTACATTATTAAATCACTTGTTCACAACTAATACACCAATTTTTAACTTTACATATAAAATGTATTGAATATTTATATTTGAATTAATCACTATAAAAACAATTAACCCGTCAGCGGTCGCGCTATTTCCCCATCGTTCTTTAGTCGCGTGATGAGAAAAAGTCTCACACTTGGCGCATGCGCTCTTGTTCTTTAATATGCGGTTACATGGTGGGAATATTTGATTTCTCTAATACAAGTCAACGTAAACGAATATTTTAACTTCTCAGTGTTATATATATTATTATAATTTTTCCTAGAACATTATTTATTACTAATAAATTATGTAGTTTTTAATATAAAATTCGAAAAAAGGTTATTTTCAGTAATTTAAAACAACAGAGATGAAAAAGTATTAATATTTATTTCATTTTCACATTTTTAAATAATTTATAATAATTGTAGCTTATTTTATTCTAAAAGTACTTTCGTAAAGCTTTTTAAATCGTAAAGTAGTTAAAATTAATTAACACTTAAGAAGACATAAATTTTTCTTAAACAAGTACGCTTAACAAAAACATAAATTTTAAACATTTTTTGCATTTCAGATTTAACATTAATTTAATAAAATTAGAACAGTTTATTTTATTTAAAAATAAAAATAAAATTTTTAAATTTACTTAAAAAACACATTTTTAAACATAAAATTTCTCGATTTATAATAAATTGACTTATCGTCTTTTTAATTTAGCATCCATCACAAAAATATCGAGTATGCTCTGGGCATATAAATTTAGAGCAAAATTGGCACCGTTTTTTGGTTTTTCTGTTTTTTCTTCTTGGACAAAAATCACACATCCCTTGAATTTGTTCAATCTTTTCTTGATTGATTTTGACATGTCCAATTTTTTTATCAACAATCGTAATTCGTGCGTTAGTGGAGCCTCTTCCAATCGAGTTTTGAAAAATGGCTGAACAAGCTCTTTTCTTAATCTGCTTAAAAATGATCTGCGTGTCATTTTTTCGCCGGAATTATCTCTGAGAATTATTTGCGAATTTATTCCGGCTATATTGAGAAATGAATAAAATAGCACCATTGGCCAACGACGAGTTTCCCTGCTCACACTATACGTCCCTTTTAATTCGTCGACAACATCGACTGCTCCTTTCATCAAATTATAAAACGTAATTATTTCAGGTTTTTTTCTTGAGCCGGTATCTTTATCAATATCATCCGAATTGTAAAGAGTTGACAGCATAAGTACATTTTTATTTTTCTTCGGGACGTACGAAACAAGTGAACATTTTTCGGTAAATCCAAATTTACTGCTGCAAATATTTCGTCCTTTAACGGCAACAAATTCCGGCGGAATCTCCCTTTTATTTTTGCGCAGTGTCGATACAATAGTTGTCCTACAATTAGTTACCAAATCAATTGCAAGTGGAATGGAAGAAAAATAATTGTCCATAGTTATATTGCGACCAGTATTCAGGATCGGTTCTGAAACACGTTTGACTATTTCATTCACTGCATTGGAAACATTGTAAGGACCATTTTGCTGCTTTCCAGGGTAAATCTCTAAATTTACAGTATAAAATAATCGAGAGTCAACTATTGCCCAAACTTTTATCCCGTATTTTGCCGGTTTGATTGGCATGTACTGGCGAAAACTACATCGCCCACGGAAAGATTCTAACATTTCGTCAAGTGTTACATTCTGGCCTGGTGTAAAGTGTTTTTTACAATTATTATTAAAGGCCTCAAAAATTTCACGAATAGGAGCTAGTTTGTCCGATTTAATTCTCTCTTCTCGAGTGTGAATATTGTCAAATCTTATAGCATTTAATAATTGGTAAAACCTTTGGAGGCTCATTGCAGCACGAAAATAATCCGGTGCTGTTCCGTCAGTAGTCCACAATTCTTCCAAATTTAAATGATTACTTTTTTTTGTCCCGATTAAATAAAGCAAACCAAAAACGGCTCTGATTTCAATTACACTAGTAGGCCGTACATCTCTTTCCCGTTTGTAATTCCTTTTAATTTTGTCAAGTCGAATATTTGTATATTCAACAATTTTTTTGATCATACTATCAGTGAAAAATAACTGCCAACATTCTAAAATGCTTTTAGCATTTTTAGCTTCACCCTTCACTCCTGGGAGTTTTTTAATAATATTATGTTTTCTCGTTCTTACATTTTTATTCCCAGGACTGGCTGACCATTTTGTTGTTTTATCTTTTCCAATAAAAAACGTTTCTTTATTGTTATTATCATTGAACTCTTCGTTTTCGGAATCTGATTGCTCTGTGTCCGTGTTATCAAAATTTTCTTCTAATTGGTCAGGAAAATCATCATCGTCAGAATTTTGATCTTCATGATCAAATAAAACCTCTTTTTCAAACCACTCGAAGTTATTATCGTTGTTCGCACTCATATTAAATTTCACAAGTATAACCTAAAAGTGACAAAATATTACTAATTCTGAAATGAGTGCAAATTATTAAGTATGATGTAATAAACATATTTTATTAATTAGATCTATTAACACTGTAAATTAGTTTATAAACTTATCTGAATTAAAAGAGAATTCACTCATAAATTAAACAATTTAACTGATAATAACAACTGTCACATTATGTTTACATTGACACTGGTCGCCGCCATTTGTCGCCATTAGCAAATCTTCTGTCCTTCTCTCATTTACGAAGACCTCCGAGTACCACCGACAAACGCCGAAGGCAATTTTTCCCAACTTACTTTACTCGCGTGATGAGAAAAAGTTTCACAGTTTTTATTGCTCTTCACAATTTATTTTTTTTTTTTAAATAAACGCTACTATTTAGAAAATTTTACTTATGACTATGTAAAAGTAGAATACTTTCTGGAAAGGTAGAAAAAATTCCGGAATAAATAAAAAATTTTATCATTAGAAATAATTAATTTTAAGATAAGTGTGAGACTTTTTCTCACGGCGCGACCGCTGACGGGTTAAAATAGCAGGATGCACTGACTGATATTTCAAACGAAACGAAACACTCAAATTGAATGCAACGCGAAGTATTGTACACTTGCACTGCAAAAATAAGTGTCCCAGTAAAAAAAAAAGTATTCAGAATAGAGAAAAAGTATTGGTGGAGACGTTCGGTGAATGCGTTTTCGCGACAAAACCGTATTGGTGGGTCACGGTGAATACATTTCGCTTACCGTGAATACTTTTTTTAAAAACTTTCGATTTAAAGATTCCTAAGCAAAGTTGAGAATATTTATAAAGAGCGTAAGTGACCTGAAGTATAAAAATGACTATTGCGAGAAGGAAATAAGAAATTTAAAAAAAACGAAAAATTAAATGTGACAAACAGATTGTCAAATGTTGATCAATTACCATATGCTTTTCTGTGCCTACAACGTATGATGATTAAAAGGAACTTTGACGTTACCGGCGGAACTTACTGTTTCACATACATTTACTTGGATTTCTCAAGTTTCTGTCGGTATCGTCAATGTTCCTTTTCATCATCATACGCTGTAGGTTTGTCACATTTAATTTTTCGTTTTTTCTCAAAATTTCTTATTTCCTTCTCGCAATCGTCATTTTTATACTTCAGATCACTTACGCTCTTTATAAATATTCTCAACTTTGCTTAGGAATCTTTAAATCGAGAGTTTAAAAAAAAAGTATTCACGGTAAGCGAAATGTATTCACCGTGACCCACCAATACGGTTTTGTCGCGAAAACGCATTCACCGAACGTCTCCACCAATACTTTTTCTCTATTCTGAATACTTTTTTTTTTACTGGGGTCTTATTTGATATCTTAAAATAAGATGTAAGATGGAAAAATGGTATCTTACATCTTAAAATAAGATGTTTTCTAAAGTATCTTACTGATTTTTAAGATGTTTTATACATCTTAGATATTTCTTCTATCTTAAAAAAGTAAGATACTTCTGTAAGTTTTTTAAAGTATCTTAAATTAAGATGTTTCTGTCTCAATAAGATGTTTAGCGATAAGATACTTGTGAATTGTAAGATGCGAAAAAATTTTAAGTTACTAAAAACTAAGATGCATAAAATGTCTTACATATAAGCCAATAGTTAACCTCAAAACTTTTTGCCCCAAAAATACACAGAAAATGTGTACGAAGATACTTTTAACATCTTAAATTAAGATATTTCAAATGACTAAAAAGTGACTACCATAACATCTTAGAAATGACTACCAAAACATCTTAAATAAGATCCCAGTAAACGAAAACTAATTGAAATGAATTAAAAAGAATTCACAAAGAGCTTTCGTGAATCCCGCTTTGTGACAAATACGAATTGGAGCCATGATGCAATTTTCCTGAATTCGTGAAACTGTATTGAACTTCCGAACCTTCTATCCGTACCAATTCACTGGACAAGTTTTGAGCCTTTAATTTTTTTCAATTCGTTAGCACGAATTCAATGCATTCCTTGGCCATTTCTTTCGAATGCGAATTCGTTTGGACAAATTGGTACATATTGAATTAAATTCAATTGAATATACAAAGAGCTTGAGTGAATCCCGCTTTGTGACAAATACGAATTGGAGCCTACCAAAAATGTTAATTCGTTTCAATTCATTTGAATTAGTTTTTTTTTACTGGGATACTTCTTTTTGCAGTGTGAATCCAACGATGCCTTCTTTCCGGGAAGGCACTAATTCCCTATATTAAAGAACCAGTAGAACCGGGTAGAATCAGGAGCCTACTTGCTTTGAGTTGGTTATTGTCACGTAAGTTCCAATTTCAAACCAGTAGATAAGTATTTTCAGCTGGTTTGAATTTGGAATGTCAAGTTCAAAATGAACTGGTCTCAGTTTGAACATTACAGTCAACCGAAAATTCCAAATAGGTTACATTGTACAACATGAACTTGTTTTAACTTGGATATCGATTCACAATTGGAAATCCAAGGTGGTTACAATTGAACAGATAGTTTTGAAAAAAAATATTTGTGGAAAAAATAATAAAAAATTCTTATGACCATTAATAACTTTATATTCTTAGCACGCTCCAAACATACAAACATTTTAATTAAACTGGAAGAATTAAATTAAAACTTGAACCCTATGGGAATCGAACCCCGTACCTATGACCTATCTATCTAAACGCTTAACGACCGCGGCTATCGAATCGACGTGAGAAATATTTTTCGACCTGTCTATATAAACTGCAACTTTGGAAAACGTAATAAGTTTATGTAAAATATTATAATTTTTGTAAGTACCTATAAAAATACAAGCAGAAATTAAAATATTTATAGAGATTTGCAAATATATGATATTATGTAAAAAATATTAATTAAATATTTAATACATTTTTGCTCAAATGTCATTTAACCGCTTTGTAATTTTTTGCAAATATTTGCCAAAAAATAACATTAAGCGAAATAAAAAACAGAAAATTCGTAAAAATTAAAATTCCCAAAATGACTGGGCCAGACCAGCTCAACTGTGTTAAAAAATTTCATTGATTTTCTAAAATGTTAAAACTTTTATGAAAATCTGTAGTTCACAATAAAACAATAAAACACTCTTAACCGTTTTTTGAAATTTGAAATTTTTGTAATTTTTTGCATTAACAAAATATTACAAAATTTTAAAATAATTAATAACTCAAAAGTCTTTTACCATAAATTAATAAAACTTACACTGATTACACAAAATTGTTCACTCTCTTACAAGAAAATATTTGTTATGTTAAAATGTTAAAACTTTTATGAAAATCTGTAGTTCACAACAAAACAATAAAACACTCTTAACCGTTTTTTGAAATTTGAAATTTTTGTAATTTTTTGCATTAACAAAATATTACAAAATTTTAAAATAATTAATAACTCAAAAGTCTTTTACCATAAATTAATAAAACTTACACTGATTACACAAAATTGTTCACTCTCTTACAAGAAAATATTAGCATGATTGTAAATTTAAAAATTTCATATTTTTAATAACAATTTTATAAATAATTTGAATTATTTATGTGTTCTACCCCTTCATAATTGCAATGAAACTCATAGGAGGTATAGTCATAGTAGTCTCTTTTTGAAGACCCTAATAAAAAATTTTCATTTTGGAATGTACATAACGTATTTTTTAATAAAAACGCGCGTCCATTCCACAATGGGAAAAATGTGATTGTCGTGGAAAATTTAGTCTAGACGTTACAATTATTATTTGTTTTTTTATAAATTTTTTTTAAATAAAAGACTGAATTTTCCACAACAATCAACTTTTTCCCACTGTGGAGTTGGCGCGCGTTTTTAATAAAAAAATTCGTTATGTACATTCCAAATTGAAAATACCAACATTTTTTTTGGGGGGTTTCAAGAAGAGACTACTGAGTATACTTCCTATGAGTTTCATTGCAACAGGAGCGGTCGAACACATAAATAATTAAAATTGTTTATAAAATTGTTATTAAAAATACGGAATTTTTAAATTTACAATCATGCAAATATTTTCTATTAAAAGAGTAAACAATTTTGTGTAAATAGTGTAAGTTTCATTAATTTATTGTTAACGGCTTTTAGGAGTTATTAATTTTTTTTAAATTTTGTAATATATTTTGTTAATCCAAAAAAATAACAAAAATTTTTTTAAAAAAACGGTTAAAAGTGCTTTATTGTTTTGTTGTGAACTACAGATTTTCATAAAATTACAAAATTACAAATAGCAACAGTAACAAATTCATAAAAATATCAATTCGAGAAATGCAAATTCGCAAAAATAAAATTATCAAAACAACAATTAGCAGAAATAATGATACACAACAAAGCAGTTTCGCAAAAAATAACAATTAGCAAAAGTATCTAACAATTTGTAAAACTGTCCATTGCGAAGAATGCAACTTTGCAAAAATAACAAATTTGAAAAATAACAGTAAACTAAAATAAATATTTGTAAAATGTAAATTTGCAATAATAATTCTTTGCAAAAATAACAATTGGCGAAAATGACAATTTAAAGAATTCCAATTAGCGATTAATCAAACTCTGTAAATTTGAACTTGAAATTCCAAATAGAATGCATCCCCGATTCAAATTAAACCAAGATGACATTAATCCTTCACTGTGCTATATAAATTTGGAGTTGGAAGTTCCAAACTCAAGCTTGTTGATTTTTAATTTAACAGGACAAGTGAAATGTAGTATTCGAGAATCCAAATTGAACCAAGTAGATACTTGAACTTAATTTTGTATTTGGAAATGCAAGCTGATACTTGTAGTACGTGCGAACTTGGAAATACAAGTAGAGATGATAAGATTGGAAATCCATGTTAAAACAAGTCGAAACAACAATTGAAGAGGACAATCCAAGATAGAACCATTTCAATTTTATCTTGGATATCCGTTTCAGTTACATAAATAAGATTTCCAAGTTAAAACCAGTAGAATTGCTACACGGAA